ACTACTTCTGTAGGAAGCCCATCAAATGTATGACAAAATATATATCCATCCATTCTCAACTAAAGATACATAGATATCAGTATTTGAGACTGATTCAGTTTATTTCAACTTAAAAGTGAACAAAACAAGACAGATTTGTGCAGTCTGAAGATCTCTTAATATTAGGCCCTAAGTTGTCATGTCATTTCATGTTACTAAATCTTCTCTTCAATCTCCTCTCCCAATAACTATTGGCTTACCCCCTTTGCAAGTTCTAATGGAGCTGAATTATGAAATTCATTAGGGCCTAATGACTATTAGAACTGAAGGTGAACAAATATCCTTCATTTCCCCCCCTCGCCATCCCCATATAAGCTATCTGCCAGTATTATCTGGAAACCTACAGAGTGTACAGACAACCTTTCCTACCTTATTTATACCTGTGTGTGTGTATATATACACACATCACACACACATTCCACATTACACTTCAAATGTATCATACTTTATATGGATGTTTGTTAAAGAGATTCATTAAGGAAAAAAGGAAGAAAACTTTAATAAATACAATCAGAAATGAGATGTTACAATAGACATCTTAAAAATAGATTAACATAAGACACTACTATGAATGTTTTTATGCCAATAACCTATGGATAATTTAGAAGAAACAGATCAAAATAATTTTCTGAGACTGAATCAGAAGAAATAAAAAGCCTAAATAGACCAATCACAAGCAAGAAAATCGAAAGAGTAATCAAATACCTTCCTAAAAACAAAAGGCCAGGACCTGATAGTTTTATAACTGAGCTCAATGAAATCTTCAAATTAAAGGTACCTATCTTTCTCAAACTCTTCCCAAACCTTGAAAAGGGAGTGCTCTAAAAATACATATTATGAGGCCAACATTACTTATATAAAAAGCATACAGGCCCTCTCTGATGTTGCAATGGGTTAAAGCACTGTGACGCTTGCTGCAGCCACTTAAGCACAGTTTGATCCCCAACCCTTGAGCTGACCTACATGGTGTGGCAGACCTCTCCTGACCCACCCACTGCTACCCTCAGCAGTGTATTTTGTCGATCTGCCTGTTCTGCTCCCCACTCTGCCTCTGGTGAATCCTCTCACTGCTCCTGCATCTCTGGCCTGTACCCCAGTTCTATTTGCATAAATAAACAAATCTTAAAAAAAAAAGATGCAAAAATCCTCAAAAAAAATCTTAGCAAACAATCTAAAAATATATTAAAGGTCCATATACCACGACCAAATAAGATTTATTCCAAGGGCAGATATGCAAATTGAAAACTATCATTCACCACATCAAAAAAGGAAGAAAAAATAACACAATCATATCAATGGGTACAGAGAAAGCATATGACAAGTTTTAACATTCATTTATGATAAAAACTCAAAAAATGCCTCAACATTATAAAGCCCGTGTATCACAAACCCACAGTTGATATTACACTCAATTGTAGAAAATTGAAAAGTTCTTCATCTCAGATACAAGACTTTTACCAAAAGTCAGAAATCTTAGCTAAATAGGCAAGAGAAAGATATAAAAAGAATACAATTTAGGAAAGAATATGTAACACTATCACTATTTGCAGATGACATGATAATAAACATACATAAAGACTCCACTAAAAAGTTATTAGAATACAGTAAGTTAGTACAGTGAGATGCAGGCTACAAGAGCAATATATAAAAATCTATTAAGTTCCTATATGCAAATAATGAACTAGAAAACAATCCAATTTACAAGTATATCAAAAAGAATGAAATACCCAGGAACAAACTTAGCAAAGAAAGTGGAAGATCCATATACTGAAGATTAAATGACACTGTTAAAAGAAATACAAAACAATGAAACGGAAAGATAGTCCTTACTTATGTAAGAACTAATATTGTTAAAATGGCTACCTTACCTAAAGCAACAAAGATTTAGTGAAATCCCTATCAAAGTTTCAATGACATTCTTCAACAAAACTGAGCAAACATTACTGAAATGAATATGGAAATACAAAATACCCAAGCCAATTTTGACCAAAAATAACAAATTTATCACACTCCCAGACTTTCAAACAATATTACAAAGCTATAGTAATTAAAACTGTTATGGTGTTGGGATAAAAATAGATACACTGACAAATGGAATAGAATTCAACATCTAGAGATAAACCCAACTTTTACAAGCTAAGAGGCTACATTCATGACATATAACTTCCTGGTTTGTCAGTTTATCGGCTTTTTATAAAAGTCTGTTTCATTTCAAGACTGTTGTGCTCAGTGACATTCAGTTAGAGTATACTTGTGGACAAAGGAACATCTCTTCAGCAAATAGTACTGGGAAAATTAGACAACTACATGCAAAAGAATGGAATTAGACCACTATCCTCACACACACAAAAGCTAACATGAAATGGATTAAAGACCTGAAACTATAAAACATGCAGAAAATGACAAACATGAAACACTCCATGACACACACTTTAGAGGCTGAAATGGGGATTTGAAAAGAGTAACAAGAGGAGAAAAAGTAACAGTAAATAATGGAACTGAATCAAAGTAAAAAGTTTCTGTACAGCAAAATCAACTATCACTAAAAAGAAAAAAGACACTTTAATTGAATGGGAGAAATACTATTTGCACATCTGCAAGCAGTGAATATTAAAGACCCATAGAGAACTCATAACAAAAAGAAAGCAAATAATCTTAAATAAAAAATAGAATTAAACATGCTTTCCTTTAAAGAAGGCATAGAGATGACCAACAGACATATGGAAAAATACACATAATCAGTTATCATCAGGAAATGCACCTTAAAAATCACACTGAGATACCACTATCTCATACTGGTGAGAATGGCCTATATAAAACAGTCCAGAAACAACAAATGGTTACAAGCATGTGGTAGGGCTGTAGAATGGCCCAAATAGAAAACAGTATGGAAGTTTTACGAAATATTAAAAATAGATCTACTGTATGATCCAGCAATCTCACTACTCAGAGAATGCAAAAACACTTATTTGAAGGGATAAAATCACTTGCACTTACTGCAGCATTACTTACAGTAGTGAAGTTATAGGAACAATCTAAATTACCAAAGACAGATGAGTGACTAAATTAAGATGTGTTACAGATAGACAATGGAATACTATTCAGCTCTAAATAAAACTTGTTGCATTATAAAATAAACTTACATGATTAGTAGCTTCAAAACAGAGTATTTCCCTACTTTTTCATTTAAAATTGCAGACAAATCTAACCATCTCTAACTCGGCTCCCTTCTTGAGGGAAGTTCTTTATCTCCCATGTTAAATGGAAGTTCTGCATCAATCAGATAAAATCAAAGTAATCACTTTCTAAAGCATTACTACACTACTAAAATGTTAAAAAAAAAAACCTCTGAGTAGCAAATGTTAGCTATGATCTATTATTATTTAAAAGATAGTTTTGATCAATCTACATTTGACTGAATAAAACACTGTACATTCTCAGTGTTGTCAACTCAAATAATTTATGCTATAACCAAGTATTAATCAGCCTGGAATTTTCTGGGTGCCAATGTAGACCTGCTAGCTCAGAGTCCTTCCTCTAAACAAGGACTCTTCTTTTACTCCCACCATAAACCCTCTTGTATTCTCTGCAGGCAAATGGAATTTATACACAGCAGCTCCAGAAAATATCGTCTACTTACCAACATTTGCAATTTTATCTATGAACCCCTGGGAACTCACAACCAGCACACAACCGATGCCTATTCATACTTATCACAATGTGGTCTCTAAACTGCCCATATCAGAATCACAGAGTAGCTGTCTAAAGCAATGCCATTCAAATTAACTTTGGAACTGAACTCTCCAGTAACAGAGGTCAGGAGTAAACATTTTAAAACTCTTCCCAGGTTTTTATTAATATTTAAAGCCTATCCAGAGGGATATATGGCTCTAAATGAGAATTTAAGAATACTCAGTTTTCATCCCCTACTCTGATCCTTGGAGTTATTTAAGAAAACTTCAACATAATCCAAAATACTTAATATTATTGCTATAGTTTTTCCTATTATAAGTAGGGGACCAGCATTTTCTGTCCATGTCAACAACCTTCTACTCCTTCAACTGCCACACCTTAGACCTAGAAGAGCTATTCAATTTATCAATAATCTTAAAATCAATGGTGTCCGCGGCCCAATGTATTTTCTCCTTCTCTTACTAAATCTGTTCTTCAGTTTTAGCTAGACTCCAATCCCATGGCTTCTATTTTCTTCTATCAACTCACCTAACTAACAGTTCTATTCACTGCTCTGCCCAGCACAGAAGACCCAACACTATGGACATTCCACATGGACCTCAGATAGACCCTAGTTGGCACCTTTCATCCCTGCTGGAAATAGCACCAATGAGCTAGAGTAACACAGCTAGTTTAGGAGTCTATTATATTTAGACTTATATTTTCAGTTCAGATTAGCTTAATGGTTACTGCCATTATTAGAACTAATACTTGATGAGCAGCTAGTGAATTTAATGATTATTTTATATATTCCTCACAACAACTCTGTAAGATAGACACATCATCACCTTCACTAAAAGCTACTGATGCTAAGAAGGATTAAATAAACCTAAGGTCTCAGGGTCAGTATGTGACAAAACTGAGATTCAAACCCATCAGACCCTGTTCTATAGCCTGGCTCAAGTTCCTTATCATCCTACTCCAGTAATAAATGAAAAGGAAAAATAGCAGCTCAGCCATTTATCACTTGAAGAATGAACTCCTACTTTCAGAAAGCTTCACCCACTGTTCTGCTCCCCTCCATCCATTACCCTTTTCAGATCTTGTCTTCAGAAAATGGTAACAGATGGTAATACAAAAAAGAATTATGCTTTGGAAAGCTTACTAGTGAGCTTGACATGTAGAAACCTTTGTCCTTTATTAGTTCAGATTTCTAAAGAATAGTATGTGAAATACTGTAGAAAACCTTGAAATTGAAATGAATATTATGGCCAACTTTTCAAACTCACCTCTTGTTTTTCTTGTAATTTTCCAGTTGTTGCAACTGTATGTGTTTGTATCTTTCTAATTCACACTGTCCACATAAATCCTCCAGATTCAGCAAGTGGTTTTCTACCTCCTCAAAACTTGCCTCTAAGTGAGCTGAAAATATATGAGGTCAAAAGAGGAATAAACATAAAATTCAGTATGTTTGACCATGGAAAAAAGAAAAAGTATCCAAAGTTAAAACTTTAAACTGTTAAGCTGGTTTTATATTTATCATTCTTAAAACTTTCTTGAAGCAAAATCAAATACACTAATATTAGAATATACCATAAATTATCTTTATGTTTTTGTATTTCAAATATTTTCAAGATGTAACTTACCAAAATAACTTAAGGTTTCTATTAACCTTAATTAATCTTGATGAAGAAACATAGTATCTTGACTAATCTAATGACATCACAAATGAACAAGAAATTTTCAAATACAGAAAACAGAACTAACACACATTAACACAAACAAAATCTAATGTTTGATATTTCCAGTTCCTTTAGTTTTGTCTTGCCTAAGGATTTATATGTATAAAGACAAATAATCAGTAAGCATAGGTCACCAAGCCAATCAGCAACTATGGGGAAGGGATTCAGCTCTGTCTTCTAGTCCTTCTACTGGTGTTTTCTTGTTCTGCATGGCTCTTGGACATAGAGCTTTGAAGTTTTACTGAAACATGGATATAATCCAGTCAAATTCTTCATTTAAAATATTCAAGACCTAAGCCTGCAGAACTTAATTCAGTGTCATGTCGAAGGTCACTAAGCTAGTAAAAGGCAGTCAGCAGTCAAAATTGAGTCCCTCTTAACACTAAAATGGTTTACAATTTTAGTGAACTAAACTAGGGACAGAAATAAGCTATTTCCTCAGGCAAGAGAAAAGTTTTAGAAGTTAAGGATTTTAGAACTCAGTCATCAACATGGCACCTTACTAGACTTCACGTTCTAGATACTGGGACCCAAATATGAAACAGTGCTTATGCACAAAGAGTTTGAAGCAAAAGAGGCATATTTGACTGACAACAATCTGACAGAGACAGACATAAGATGCTGAAAACGCAAAGGACCATAGCATCTAACACAGATGTGGGAAGGAAAGGGGAAAGCTCCCCAACAGGTGGAAGCTACAGCCTTGCAGCCAGGAAGGGTAGCAGGAAGAGAGCAGATTGTGCAGCTTTCCAGTCTTGGTTTCAAATAAATGGCTACAATATAATTACAGTGCATCTAATGCCTTCATTTATCCACTAGATGATTTTTCATATGACTTTTTAAATGAGTTTTTGTAGCATGTAGGTTGAGGTAAACTCAAATTTTAACTTGGAATTTCAGGCTTCTTAAAACACAGTGTTTGGCTTGTTTTAATTAATCTTTGATCCAAAGATATATTATATCCAGAAGTAGCCACCTTTTCTAATAGAGAATTTTAATTTTACTCAGTATCTATGGCTGCAATACCCCTGCTCACCTCACCCCCAACCCCCACCCACTTTTAAGCTGGTAAGGCCTAGTAGGGCTGAAAGACAAGAATTTGGGAAGAGGTCAGAAGTAGAGGATATGTACTGAGAAGTAAAAATGTGAGACAAGTGCTTAGCACTCATCTTAGAAGACACTTTAAGCACTGACTTTTATTCATATTGCTAGAGCACTATATGCCTTTGGTGAATCTAAAAAAGGTTGGTAATAATGCAGCTCATCATAGTTTTGAATCTTTCCTCAGGGGCTACATCAAACAGTTAACATTCGATTATGGAAAACTCAACCTGAGACAATTTGCAAAATCTAGATTTTCATGAAAAATCTACCATTTTAAATAATGATAAAAAGTGAATGAGGAGTTCCTGTGGAGATAAGCAGTCAAAATGACATTATTATATTCGATGCTGTTTAAATTATTTTTTTGTTATTAAATAAAACGGAAAATGGACAAGGATACTGACTGGGAGGTAGGGCTACTGGCACTGAAGAAGCACAATTCAGCTCATTTTGTTGTAAGTGGTCTGACAGGACCTTAAAAAATGATCATAGCTAATAGGATTATTTAAAAGGCCATTTCACTTTGATTAGTGATAAGAACTCAAATAATTAAATTTTATACAGAATCCATTTAACTCTGAGCTACTTGGTTCCTTCAGTTTCATGCACATTATCCTTAGCATAGAAAGGACTGGTTAAGAGAAGGGTTTCAAGTGCAAGCTTGAAAACTCAGCCCCGCCCTTTAAAGATGAGATGAAGGAAGATTCTTATCAGTGAAAAGAGGGTAAGTAATACACATCTTTCAAAGATGTCAAAAGGGTTCAATGAGGCAAAGTATGTAAAGTACCTAGTGCAGTACTTGAGGGTGAATAAATAATTAATGGTCTACCAAACTGCAGAGAAAAAATTTTAGAAAGAATAGTTACATTTTGAACAACTAAAAATTCTGTAGATGTAATGATCACATTGTAACACTTATGAATCTAATAGGCTGGAAAAAAATTTTTTAGACATACTCATACACCTATAAATAATATGGGTGACTATATTCTTAGATTTAAGACTCCTTCTAAGTGAGGGGGATTAAATTTCAAATGATTTTTCTAAAAAGAAAACATACAATGAATTCAGTATTACCTCTACATGATTAAACATGTGTGCTCTTTCTACCTTTCTTATTTGGACAGATGGCAATTTCCACTTAGAGTCTAACTCTGTTGGCTGACTGCAGAGCTAATGAGGCCAGGAACTTGAATGAAGTTGATCCCTAGGCAGGCCAATTAATTTCTCACAGAGAGAAATTCTGTTCTAGGTACAAACTGAACTTACTACCCTAATTGTATTAATAAAATGAAGACCAGGTAAAAACATGTGAATGGTTTAGTACCAACCTGAAAGCACTAATAAGAAATAAATAAACCATATGTTCTTTGGAATAGTTTAACATCAGCCCATGTTAAATGGCAAAACTAGATTTTAAAATTCTGCCGCCAAATTCATATTTATGTTATCCACTCTAAAGTTTCAAAGGCTCTCAAGTATTTTCCTAGAATCTAGTTGAACTCCTTAACTTAGTATTCAGAACCTACCCCACCCCCAACATCCTGTACCCATGACAACCAGTCTTACTGCTAATTTTCTTCAGGATCACTCCTCATTCTAAGAGGAACCCTGCATGTTCCTGAAATGCTTCTGCTTAACACCAATGCCCACCCCAACCTCTTTTTCAGCTCAGGTCAATGCTACCCACCCTTGCTGCCCACAAAGATTTCTTCTGTGCTTCTCCACATAACCAAATCTTATAAAGATGTCTATTTTGACCTACACCATACAACTACTGGTATACTCTCATCTCTCCTAGGAGTCAGTAGTGTCTTAAAGGTAAAGATTATGCTTTTTCATTTTTTCCCCTAATACCGCATTTGTTGAATTCAAACAACAATTTCTAGAGATAGAATGATCCCATCACTTGAAAACATAAAATAATCACCATAAATAAAACATACCTTTACAAGAAGCTCAAACCTCACCATTTTGCTCACTATAACAGAGCATATGTCTCATTTAGAGATCAGTGGAAAAGAGAGGTAGAATTTTATTGTGAAAAGCCATTTGGGAATGCCTGACAGCTGTGCAGGAAAGAGCTCCACAAATCTTTGTGAGAAGATCGTCCCAGAGGAAGAGTGATTCTGTTTGGAATTTTTCTTTGGGTCATTTATTTCAAACACATATCTGCAGTGTTAACTATTGATATATGAAAAATGGAGTGGCACATTAAAATTAATCATTCCACACTTAATGAGTGCTTTTCTAACAAAATAATTAGCCTCAAGGAACAAAGAACTGTTCTTTGGCTGCAAACCCACAGGTCACAGAGATCAGGTCTAAAAGACTGGAAGATTTTTCAAATGCTTACATTACTCTTTTATGTAGTAAGGTAATGATGGTATGGTAATACAGAACTTTAATAAATGCACCAGCTTGCAAAAGCCATTATGGAACAAATGAGATCCATGTAGTATACTAAAAGGTAGCTAAAGAGAGTTAATATGCTCTTGAAGGGTCTAATCTTAGAAAGTTATCAGGACAATAAGAAGATAATTTCATGAAACACTAAAAGTTGTGACAGTCTCCCTGTTAGGTGCTTCCTAAAATTCTGTGTGGAAGAATGCATAGTAGTATAAGGTATCAGATGAGGTCAGAACGAAAGGGAGATACAAACTCAGCTTATGGCTTCCATTTTCTGACTGCATTTTGTATTTAAGAATAGAAACTTCTGTTTTAGATGATGGTAATAGTGTTTTTAAAGTAGGTCACATAAAATAAACTAAGCAATAGAGAAAATTCAAAACCTTGATATTTTAAACGTCAATAGGGATAGGATTAGACTACCCTCTAGTGGAAATTGAAGAGAATTAAAAAATAAATTTTCAAACATTTATCAGTTAAAGATAAAATGCACATTGTAATATCACAGAAAAAGAAAAGAAAGTAGATAGAATTTAGATGACTATTCTATTTCACCCCCATAGACTATATTGTACAGATTATTATACTGTTCATCTCACCACATTTCACTATGGTTTCTGCCTTCTAAACTATTTTGTTAAACAAGCAAAACTGCCTATTACCCATCAATTTGAAAAGTCTAGAAAAGCTCCCACCAGCATGACAGCATCTTGATGGCAAGGACCAGGTCCTATTCACTGATATACCCCTGGGCCTACAAACAGCACATGCCAGCTGCTTGGTATGTGCTAGGTAGTGTACTGAGTGTTTTACGCTTGTCTTCTCACCAACACTCTAACTACCCTGTAAGGCAGGTACTCTCATTTAGCAGACAGAAAATAAAGCTGCAGCAGTTACAAAATCTGCATGGGGTCTCACAGTCAGGAAGTTGTGGAACTAAGATCCAAACCCAGGTTGACAATCAGTTCCATAGCCCTTATTTTCCAGTTCCCTGAATACCTTTATTATTACATTTTCAAAGGACAAGGCTTACTGGTAATTAAATATTACACAGGTTTTTATACGCTATCTGCAACACACCCCATTTAAAAAAAAAATCACAAATGTGAATGGATTGTCCACTTTTTTCTTAAAAAAAAAAAAATCCTGAGGCATCAGTTTAATTCAACAAAAAGCATCATGAAAAGTCCAACTACTTACATAATTATCAAGCCTTCACTCTTTAATAGGGCCAAGACCCACCAGAGACCAAGGAAAGCTGAAAAGAGATAACTAAGTTGCTTGGAAAATGGAGGGACCGAATGGATTTATTAGACCTGATAATGAAAGGGCAAAATGTTCAAAGTAAACAAGTGAATCTAGAGTTAAGTTACTATTTTCTTCTAAGTTATTTTATCTCTTATTATTATTGGTTATAATGCTACAGCAAGGTACTTAAGCAATGAGATATCTTGACAGAAAATAAAACTGCCGCATTACAAAATTCGCCAAAAAAAATTATTCCATAATATATGACCTTACAAAACCCTATGGTGCTTCGAATATCAAGGATTAGTACATACATTCATTAAAATAAATTCACAAAATACATTAATGGTATAAGTATATTTATACAATCTAATCCACACAAATTTGGCACCAAAATGTTTTCATATTATAAAGAATGAAAATAATCAGCACTGATTCCAAGTAGCTTTAGTCACTTATCTAAAAGACCCACAATTTCAAAATACCTGTCCATACAGTTAAATTACAAGTTAAAATTACTACGTGTAAAATTAGTAAGTAAATTTACTTAGTGTAAAATTACTAAGTGTAAATATCAGGTAAGTTTAACAGCTGTTGGAGTAAATCCTAAAGGTAGCATATATTTCAAATGCTAATTCACATGACAATACATTAAAAAAAATCATTTAGAATTCAGAGGTATAGTCAAAGCAAACTAAATTTATTCCAAAAATGGTCCAATATAGGTTAGACAGTGACTTGAATTCAAGATGCTCATCCCATTAAGAAATTAAAATGCAGTTTCTTTGAAGAGGAAGTATCAAACTAAGTATCAAACAGGATATCAGATTTCTAACTAAGAATGAAAATAAGGTATTTTATATTTTAAAAAGACTTAGATAAACTGCACTTCTGTGGCTAAATGCACTGAATCTGTACAGTGGTATCAAGCAAATAGCTACAGAGAAAATTTACTCTCAGCAGAAAAAATGGGTAAGTTACCAACAGGCAAATAACTGCTAAAAAACAGATAATCAATGAAAAGCAGCAAATTCCAAGAGATGCAAAGAAGTTACAACAAAAGAAAAAGAAAATTCCAAATACCTTGTAGGCTATTTCCACCAGTTAGCTATGAAATGCTAGAAAAGGCTCCACCCATAAGAAGGATATAATGCAAAAAGATTTTACGTTTTCCCCATGATCTAAAAATCTCTTTTCCATGCCCTGGCTTAAGAAATAACAATACACAGATACCAAGATGACATTTGCAACAGATCTCTATGAAGACAATCCTGAGAGGAACTGACAGCTGCCGTGGAAACTGCCTCCCTCTCATTGGGAAACAATCATTGGTTTGGGATCCTGGATCTACAGCTTATTAACTGTGTGGCCCTGAGCAAGTCACAATCTCCACATCTTACTTTCTCATCTGTAAAGTGATAATAAAAGCTACAAAGCTACTTTTATATGCTTCTTGTGAGGATTACATACAATATTATAAAGCACCTAACAATCTTTGACATAATATAGGTGCTATAAATGTTAGCTACTGTTATAAGCAACACCATTCTAAATACCTTTTAGGTTTCAGGTATTCACATACAAAAAGCCTTTTATGACTTGCCTATTTCTTGCTTTGTAAGTCAGTTTAGTTTTTCATTAAAAAAAAAAAAAACTGAAAATAAAGAGATGGAAAGGGTATCCCTTACCATCTTACTTAACAGGATGGTTGGCTTATTGCCTAGAAAGTTTATCTCCTGTGTAACAAAACTTACCTCTTATTTCTTCAAGATTTTAAGCTTGGTTAGAAAATAGTAGGCCACATATTACACTAAGATGTGGAACTGTCAAGCATAAAAGTTTATTTTTTGAATATAAAACCAAGAAATAAAAGAGTTTCTGCATAATATATCCCAATGAAAACAAAAGTTTATAGATTTCCACAATGTATAAATAAATTTAGCCACATAGGTACCCTCCCTTGGCTGGATTTGTTTGACCTTCTACCACTCTGAAATTCAACAATGCATACTTCAAGACATGAAGCTCTAAGCAGACTGAATTTTAAAAATTACTTCTAGAGTGCATCCTATAGTCATGACAAAGCCACCCCAATCCCGTTTATTATCTGTACTTAAACTTTACATTTCTACATTTAAACAGAGACCTGATGTTGCAAAAAACATGAGTCAGTTTAGGAACCACAAAATTATGTTTCTTAAACTGAAAAAAACCTAATAGCATATTTTAAAATATTAGTCCAACACTTTAAATCATTTTCTAATCCTCAAACAGGGTATGACATTAACTAGAATTCACTTCACTACATTCCCCCAAATCTTGTTAACCAAAAATTTAATGTTTTCTTAGAAAGTTTTAAAATTATACCAAGTCTGAGTTATTTTCACTCCCAAAAGTAATATACAGATACAAACATAAACTTACTTAGATTTTCTGTCAAGGATTCTAAATCTGCTATTAAAGCTGGAAGTTGTTGAAGCTGCTCCTCTAACTCTATCAGGCTGGTCTTCTTCTTCTCCCAGTGTGCTGAAAGCATAACCACTTCACTATCCACCAGCTGCAACACACAAGAGAAGGGTTAGGCACAAAAAAATTATAGCCAGCATGAGTCTTTAAAATCATCTCTTCTGGGTTTAAACAACAAAACACTCTAAGCGGGACAAAAGTTGTTTTCTTTCTTAGAAAAGAGCCAACTTAATATTACTGCAGAAAGCCTCAAATTATTGCTTTTATCTGTACATCTTAACCAGAGAAGAGAAAGGTCAAAAATGACCTTAGAAATCACTTCTAAGTATAAACTATTTTTAAGTAAACCATGTATTTGAAAACCCAAATGTAGGGGGAAAAAACCCAAAAACTACCACTAACATCAGAAAACAAACAAACATAATTAACGGGTACTTATTTGTTTTACAAAGCGCATTCTTCCAATGCATTTATACTATGTTATCATTCAATTCATATTTAAGCAAATACTTATTACATAGTAAGGTGAATGGTATTTACATATGAAAAAATTGAGGCAACTTGATCAATTTCAGAAAAAGGAGAAAACTATTTAAATTTACAAAGAAGGAATTCAGATATAAAGGGCTTCAAATAGCAGAGTTGAGAGATACTAGTTTGGCCGAAACTAATTCTAACTTCTTTTCCTGAAAACTGTAAAGAAAATGACAGAACCTAGTCTCTCCCAGACAATTTTGCAATTTTGTTCTGGTCTTAACCTGGAGAAAGGAGGGGAAAGGGAAAGGGGAAAACAACACTAATAATATCTGAAGACTTGTAAAAGACACCCACATTACTATCTGCAGTAAATACTAAGAAAAAAATTCACCATATAATAGAATAAAATACATATAACTATTAAATGACATTAAATTAAGAGTTCACAGATAAGCTATATATTAAAAACACAATTTACATATCCCAAGACTTAAATAAGATTCTTCAGGAGTTAGAATGTAAATTCAACTGATTCTTACTGTATCTTACTAAAGAAAGATATTTTGAGACATACAAATATGCAATTAAGATATAAAACTGGGCCTCCCTGGTGGCCCAGCAGGTTAAAGCACAGCACTAAGAAACTAAAGCCACTTCCACATGAGTT